TTGGTTTTGTGGCTCAGAGTTAGTTGCATGCTTATAAGTCAGACCAATTCAGAATTTCCATTGGCCTATTGCATTATTAGCTAAAATTTGCACAACATAATATTTGAAGGGCCTGAAGATGGATACTGAATGTTAGAGAAAAAAATGTATTCAGGGACCTCACCTAACACTTAATTTTTTAGGTTTAATGGTTTCCTTAAGATGGTAGCAAAGCCTGTTTGGCTAAGTGCTCTAGTGTTCAATTATCCTCGCTGCCCCTATTATAATGAATTAAGTTTCAGCACAAGGTATGGGTGGGCCTATGCTTGCCCATGGTTCAAGCCTGATGGGCTTTCTCGTGAAGGGGCATGTTAGAGAATAAAAACCTATTTAGGGTCCTCAACAGTTTAAGCTTTTAGGTTCAATGATGGTTCTTTGAGTTAGGTGAGGTCCCTGAATAGGTTTTTATTTCCAACATTGAAGGTTTTTTAGCTTGATGGTTGATATCCAATGATTTATATCCATTGAGAGGTCTTACTAGTTAGCACTGAAGCTGTACATGTGTTGGAGCATTGCTGAGTGTTAGACCATTTGATAAACTGACTTTTTGACTTCTGGTGATATGGTCTATACTATATGACCAAGTTCTTCATGATCAAACCATTTTGAGAACCTCGTTGGAACCTCAAGAACTACTTTTGCAGGTGATAGTTGCTGCTAGGCCAATTCTGTTCTCAAGGGGTTAAAGGGAACATTGTTTTTGCGCTCAGTTGTAAGGCTGAAAATCAAAAGTTGATAGGTGGCAAAGTTTAAATACTAGTGGGGTAGCCAAGGCTACTCAGTTTCTGTACTGTTTCTCAATTTAATTTTCTTAATGAAATTCCCATTACTGATAAAAAATGGTACATTTCTATTATAGACATGAGGATTATCATATGGATGTTAAACTTGGAAATGATTCAATTTTTCTTACCATTATGATTTATAGCAGAGTGTTTTCTTTCAACATCTTTCTTTACAAACAAGGTTTAAAGTGTCAGTTCTAAATTTCTAATGGAAATGTTGACTACTTAAAATAGGAAATATCTTGGAAATATTGGAAATGTTGTGTATATATTGTTAAAATTTTTAGCTCTCTTCCTGTGTAACTCTTAGAACTTTTAGCCTCTGCTTGTACATCTTCTCATATACTCTTTGTCTCTTTAGAATAAAGTTACCCTTTTTCTCAAAAAAAAATATCTATTAATATTTTTGAAATTGTAAAAGGACGTACTCTTTTAAGAGTGATAAAAATGGTTGCACCATTTCAAGATGGTCTCTTCCTCCACTTTATCAATTTAAGGGTTTAAGAATTATTTTATAATACATGTTTTTTGAGACAAGGTAAAGTATAACCTTTCATTAATATGCAAAAGAAAAAGCTGTATGGCAAGAGGCTGTCCAATGGGAATTGTACATGGATTGTTATAGAATACATGCTGTTGATATTTTAGTTATAAATAGTACTTTATATGCTTTGTTTATTATAACAAGGTTATGATTTACATATAAATATGCTTCCTAGGGTATTATATTGTTTATCCTTTTTATAGGAGTTTAAAAGCACTAAAACATTAGCTGCATTTTATTAATTAGTTATAATTAAAAATATTTTATAGAAGAAAATAAGAAAGAAAGAGTCATCTATAGTAATAAACTTGAAAAAAATACTGGACTTGAAGATGATAGAATCATCATCATCATCC